TGTTGCGACCACTTTGAGGGAGGTCCAGCAAAAAAAAAAAGGAATGCAGAGGATATACCAAGACCAAACTAAGCTTGTCTGTTCTTGAGGACACCAGGATGCTACTCTCTGCTTGTACTGCCAGAAGAATAACCCCAACCAATGTGGTTCACCAAATCTTGAGTGGCAGGTAGAGCTACATTTCACCCACACAGGATGTCATGGGAAAGAAGTCTCTTGGGAATACAGGGTGACCCTGACCTGAAAAGTCACTAGTTTAAATACAGTCATACGTTGCACAGCTCTGTTCTGGATGGTACCACCTCTGAGCTTTAGGAATGAGGTGCACATGATAGTGGTTGTCACTTCACATATTCCTGAAGTGTACACCAGTTTGTTTTTCCACAGTGGAGAACCTTCAAAGGGAGATAGGCAGCATCATACCTCTGGAGATGGTTATTGAGTCCATCTATCTTTACACTGCTGTTTTGTGCCCTTTTAAGTGTCCCAGGGGATCACAGACATCCACACGGAGCAGGTAGACATGACACAGGAGACCAGAACCCTTCTGGCCTGGCTGCTGGATACCAGATGCAATACCAAGGGCATCTAGAACAGCTCTGGGGTCCTATCTTCAGGCAACCAGATCCCACTAGGGATGTAATATTTTGAAATTGTGTGTTGGGCAAGACCAAATAGACCTACTGGCTGCAGACAGCACTTCTAACTGAAGTCTGCTGTCCTGCCTCCTGGTCCTTTTTGTTACCTTCACCACTGTTAAATCAGGGCTAACAGCAGCTGTGCCAGCCCCCCCACAGAGTAGCCCTTCTCAGGACAGGTAGCGCTGCAAGCCACTGGGAGACATCCATCCTTTCTCTCCTGCTGGGACCCAACAGCAGTGAGGGGTGGGGACGCTGCTCTGGTGTGTTCCAGTCCAGTGTGCACATCTGACAGCTACTTGCCAGTGATACCTCTCAAGGAAAGACCCGTTAAACTTCTGTGCACATAGAAGATTCAGAGAAAACTGTCTTGCTGCTCTTTTTTGGGAGAGAAAGCAGCTCCACTTCACTCCTGGCTTGGGGTGGCGCAGTTACAGCAATTAATGATGGAAATGGCTCAGGGTGCTGGCTTGCAGTTTGTCTTGCAATGTCACACTGCGACCTGTACTAACTTGGGATAAATGTACCCAAGTACGTTGTTCCCAAGCATGGGACAACCAAGGACAGGACGTGCCACATAAAAATGCTTCTATGGTGCATCCCCCTGTCAGTCAGCCCCTGAGGATGTATGGATGCATATCCCAGGGGAGCCACCTGGGATATTGTCTTAGCAGCAAGGGAGAGAAGCCTGAGCTGTGCATGTGAGCATTTACCCTGCCCTTCAGGTGGGTGTCCTGTTCACCCTGAGATCTGCATGGCTGTGGCTTCCCTGTTAGCCGGGTACAACCTGGGTAGTTTGAAGCTTTCTCAGGTTTCTCATTGCTAGCCCTGCCTGTTGCAAGCTTGCTGCAGCAGAAAACAAGTAACCAGGGGAGTAGCTGTTTGAGCCAAAACTGGGTGAATGAACATTTACGCTCAATTAACACATGTCACCATTCTGACTCCAAGACTGTGGTGAATGCACCTAAAAAGTGAGAAAACCTGAATTAAGGCTGCCATGTAACCTGAAACTTTTGCTTCTTGCCTGAGCATTTCCTGTGGTGGTGTTGCTGAATTTATGCTCTGCATGACTATCACGCTGTGAGTGACTTGGATTTCCAGTGTCTGCTCTAAGGACCATGCTTTCCTTCTGGATTTTTGCCCTTCTCCTCAACTTGATTGGAAACACATCTGGCCTTACGTAGTATTTCACTCCAGTTCCTCCTTTGACTTTTGACTCAGGCACTGATCCTATGATACGTGGCTATACCAGTGACTTTGGTGAGTCTGTATGGGCACCTTATAAGTGCCTAAAGGGTGGTGACTGGTGCTAAAGCATCCTATCCCTGAACTGCCCAGCACAGAATCACCAAGGCTGGAAAAGACCTTTACGATCAAGTCCCTGACATGTCACACAGTACACTTCAGTGATTCTCTGGCTGAACCAACTCAGTTCAGAGCTGGTTTGCAACTTCCAGGGGGTGCACAGTTTTCAAAATACCTGCCCCCCTCCATCTTTTGGGGAGAGGTGTGCATGGGTGCTGTAAAGGCAAAGGGTGGGTTGAGGATCACAGCTGCATAACCTTCTGCTATTTGTAACCAGTTTTTCACCAGAAATCCCTCTCTGTTCCTGTCTTACACATCACATTTTCTTTCAGAACCTCTACCCACTTCTTCCTTTGGGGTCCTCCATGCATGTATGTCTGATTTGTATTATCCCTTTGTTTGAATTGTAAGCACTTCAGAGCAGCAATCATGTCTCCATCTGTGTCTTGACAAGGAACTTATATGATGGGTTGGTTTAAAAACACCCATCTGTAACTGAGCTATCGTAGGCTTTTGCAAGGAATAAACTTAATGAAGGCAAGTTTTCTTTTTGCTGCATGACCATCTGATTCTTCTGCCAGCTTTTCTTCATGAATAGAAGTATTTCCCAAGACTGATGTGAATTTTAAGTCTGCTGGTCTCAAATATATTTTAATAATTAGTTTATTATTTAAATATTGGAGGGAGTTTAGCTTGATTTTTGATTTCTCATCCTTCCAGGTACTACAGGTATTGGACATTTGCATGTACATATGCAGATGAGAGAAACTCATTTTTCATTACATGAACATATATATAGAGATGATGGAAGAGCTAATTCATTTTCTCAGTCACTGTAGCAGGAGCTACAAGAAAAAAAAATGATTGTGAGATTCACAGTAAAAATCACTAGGGTGGGCAACTCTAACTAAAAATAGCTCTTTGTGGCTGCCCTGGCTAGGCTCTGATGTATGTCTTCCCATATACTTTGCCTCTCCTCTGCCCTTATTTTGTAATTAGAAGTCCACCTTCATGGAAAAGGAGTCTGTCAGGTTTCAGTAGTCTCCTGAGAAGCCAAGTGTAAAACAAAGTGAGCTGCCACTCTGCACCCACTCGTGCACAGCCATCTCCTGGGAAACAATGAGAGGCTCAGGGCTGACTGCAGTGCTGTAAGGAATTAAGCTTGTGATCATCATCAAATACCAAAACTTTTCTACCTGTATTATGTCAAGAGCACAGAACCCACAGTCGTAATTTGTAACTGAAATACTTGGCTTGGAGGCAAAGTCATTTGCCTTGATGATCCCAAGTCCTGAATTACTGAGGCTCAAACCAAGATTTTGCACTGTCTCTCCACATGCAGACCACATTAGCCCTTCATGAGGTGCCTGTAGATACCATTTTTCTTCTTGACTGAAATGTTGCAGCAGTGACAGTCCCGTTCGGTGGGGAAGTGGGGCAGGGAAAATGCAGTTGGCATTAACGGGATTGGATGGAATGTGAGCGCAGGTCCCTCAGTGCTGCCAGGGACAGGGTAAAATTTGCTTAATCATTTATTGAGTCAAGGATCATTTTCATAGCGACAGAGTGAATGTAAAACCCTGTGATGAGTGAACATGAATTGTTGTGAGGAATAAATTGTTCATCTGCATGATAGATCCGTGTCCTCTGGAATTTAAATGTTAATTGAAAAGTCAAGGTCAGAGGGCAGCTGACACTTAGCTCTTTCCTCCGTCCACGGCTTTGATCATGCTCCATCTTTCTTTGTGCCTGGTGCTTGAGAGAGTACCCCAGGGTCATGGCCTGTTTCCTAGTCAAGAGGTAAAAACCTACTGGCTTAAATATCTGAGGTCTGAGCTTTAGCAGGGGGTTGGGGGCATGAAGGGAGAGGGGGGGAAGCGTTTGCTTCATGCTTTTCACATTTCCCACATAACCCAAAGCAGACTAAACAAAACCAGTGTGAAATCTCATGGCTTGATGCTGCTATGGTTATATTTTCTAAGCTGTTATCCATTCATTTATACTTATGTTTATTCCCTGGATTTACAGCTTTCTTTTTTTTTATTATTTTTTTCCCAGTATTTCCTTGCGGGGAGGTGGGGGTGGGAAGGAGGTTGAAACCTTTTGAAAGAGGATTGCAGTGAGCAGTGGCCTATGATTAAAGCCCAGTGTTTTTCCTTGATGCCGCTCCCTCAGCAGCAGTGTCACACATGGTAGCATTTAGGAGCCCTTCACAGCTGAGGTGTTTCAAACACTAATGAATGGAAGTTTGGCCCTATAACGCAGGCAAGCTTTAAGGCATGCTTTGCTGAATGGTGTACTGTAGTGGCCTGGGAAAGGAAGAGAGTTATAAATTGTGTCAGTTAGCCACCCAGACAAAATGAAGCCATGTGGAAAATCAAATCTATTAAAGTATGAAGACTGTTAAAAGCTATTTTAAGCTGGTCATTCTTAAAAGGTCTCAGTTAGCTGAGGGGGTAAATTCCTCTTCTTCCTAGATCTTTTTCACGTGCTGTCTTAGGCGATGATGTGCAGCGTTCGATAAAGAACAACTTTTAACTGACAGTCCCTTTTATCAGAAATGTTTGTTGCCCCCAGTTTACCTCCCGTGTCCTGAAAGGTATCACACATTTGTGAAATCAGCAGCATAAGAGCATTGTATTTGGTCAGGCCTGCTGAAGGCAAACATAAAAGCAGCACTGGGGTGGAGGACAGCTGATGGCAGGGAGAAGGCTTCCCAGAGCACTTGCTTAACCTTGGATACCTACTCAAAATGCTTTCATTTTCTAACTTCCCCTGTCTGCTGGCTGTAAGAGGCCCATGACAGAGCGTGGCACAAATAACTTTTTCTTGGTATCCCCTGGTGTAGGAGGAAAGCCTGGCAAACCAAAGCGGGATGACTGGAAGGCAGGAGATCTTTCATTCCTCCCAAGGTAGCTTCTTGAGATATGACAGTAGCTGTAAAGGGCATTTTGTTAGCTCAGGAGATAATTGTCAGCTATGTGAGAGAACAGTGAGGTGGCAGCCTAAGAAGCACGCTTACCACAGTATTTATTTTTTTCTATGTTTGTATTCTAGGAAGAGACTGAAGAAACATCCTCACAAGAGTCTGCAGAGGAAGACTAGTAGACCGCACCATGCAATTTCTACCTCATCAGCAGTTGGGTCTTTTGAAGGGAGAAGACACTGCCTTGACCACTTATTTTCTATTGCCATGGTCTTTCCACTTTTGCCTGGGGAAAAAAAATACCGCATAACCTTAAAAAGGATTTGACTAATCATCTTCTTTGTAATCCCTTCACAGTCCCAGGTTTAGTGAAAAACTGCTGTAACACAAAGGGGACACAGATTAACGATGCAACCTTTAATTACTGTTTTCTTTTTCTTAACCTACTAATAGTTTGTTTGAGCTGCTAAGTAAGGGGGAATGGGTGAAGAAGAGCTCAGAATCAGGTTTATGTCATTCACTGCACTGCATAGAAACAAGAAACTTGTAACATAGTCATTATAATGGGCATTGAAATAGGAAAGGCTGGATGTGTAACACTACAGCCTTGCAACACTTCCAGCAACCCACTCCCTACTTAGTGAACTCCCTGTTTTAGAACACCAAAGATAAGGGATAGATACTTTTTTTTTTTTAATTTTTTTTTTTGTAACCCTTAGACTTGTACTTGATTTTTTAATTTTTTTTTTAAGACTTACTGTTATTTCAGGAAAAAAAAATAATGAAAGCTGATCTTTCACTTCATTCAGCTGGTAACCAGAAGAAAGAAATCAACATGAAAAAGGTACTTTCATTTTGCAAAAGGGAAGAAAGACAGAGATAGGTTGTATAGCTATAGATACAAACATATCAGCAGAAGCAGTAGTAAACAAAATGAACCTCCCTCATCTTCTGGAGGATAGGAAGCCAGACAGAGTTGGCTTTCTGTAGAGCCAGGCATTTTCTATGGGAAAAAAGTGACACCGAACACTCTGACGCCATCAATGACCAAGTCTTTAGCAAGAAAAGTGTTTTAAAACATGCAGAAAGGTACCTCAAAATTAAACATAAATTTATCTGAACAAAAAGAATCCATATGTTTTGCTTAGTTTTGACTAATTCCGGTTGTCCTGTACCAGTATTTCGAAACAAACAGAATCTCTCCTAATTACTCATCGGTCATGATGCAAGAACCAAAACACGTACCTCAGCTAAGCTTGTGCATTACTTTAAGCAATGTTTTTTGACATAGGATGGTTCACTGAGCACCTCTGTGCCAGTGGCATTTCTCCATCTTTTCATTCAAAGCAGCACTTTTAGCACCAGATGCAATATTACCCCACTATTCAATACTACCTCTGATTTTTTACAAATAACTCAACAGACTGATAAATACATGCTGCTATACACATTCAATGCAGGAAATTTTTGCTGGGTAGATAATCATGAGTATCTGCATTTCCCCTTATTTCTATTTCAACACTTAATTGCAGTTAAGAAAGCAATATCTTTATTGTGTTTCAGCATGACTATGTATTTTTCTTTCTCTTGGTTTATTTTGGTTTGTTTTTTTTTAATGTACTTACCCTATTCTCTGCTAGACTTCTGTGTAATGTACTGTTAACTTGAATATATTTTTATACTGAATTGCTGATAGGTTTGTGAGGATAATTTTCTTCAATGACACTACATAACATAGAAAACAATTTAGCTGTAATGTTTAAATATTACTGTCCAAGTTTGTACCTCAAGTGAATTGTTTAAAGAAATGGACTAATTGATTGACAAAGACCTACCTCCAGACTTTAAATAGAATGAACTTCTTACTTTCAGCATTAGTTTTGAGACGTTTGAAACAGTTAGGACTGCAACTAATCCCTAATTCAAAACTATTTTTGTAAAATAACTTGTGGAAAAAAAACACATTTTAAATTACTTTCATATTAAAAAAAAAAAAAAGAACAAAAAAAACCTTCAAAGAAACTTGAAGCTTTGTAGGTGGGAAGCAACAAGCTCAGCTTTTGCATAATGCAATCACAAATATGTGTTTAAAAAAATAATTAGTAGATTGTAAGAAAATACTTGACAAGTATTTTCGTGTATTTTACACAAATGTGATTTTGTAATATGTTTCAGCCAGATTTATTTTAAATGCTTCTTATGTAGAGGTTTTTATTCTCCTCTCTCTCACTTTCATTGTTCTTTCTCCTTTTCTCTCTCTCCTCCTACTTTGTTTTCTCTATCTCTGTTTTATTTCCCTTCTTCCTCTCTTTCCTAGTCAGTACTTTGTACCATTATATTAATGACTGGGCCAGGGGTAGTTTCTCAGGAAGGCATCTGTTGGTATGGCTTAAGTACCGAGCCAAATGCAGTTAAAGATTACTTACTGGCTTCTTCCAAGAGGCAGTGTCAAGAAATGTGGACGTCCTCAAAAGCCTCCAAAGGGTTCAGTGACAGAAATTGCTGAGAAAGAGCTGATTGGAGTATTGCAACTAGACATGTTCGTTTTAAATGAAAGAGAACTAATCCTAGCTGTACAGTAGCTGTAACAGGCCAAATCCATGGTCACTTGAACGCAGTAGAAGGAATTCTGCTGAATTCAAGGGGCGTAAAATCAAGCCTTAGCAAGTCCTTTTTTGGGGTTTGGGGTTCAGGGTTTCTTTTTATAATTTTTTAAAAATCACAGTATTCAGTGGACAACACAAAAATAACTGCTGGGTATGTGTCACACTTTGACCTCCAAGAGCGACTTACCACTCTGATGAGCTGAATCTTGTATTATCTATGTAATTGTAGTACAATCAAAACACATTACTACCTCTTAGGGCCTACTATACCTCATTTTTTCAGACTGAAAAATAGCATGTGGCCATTGAATCAGCAAGAACATCATAAAATTTTTTATATATATAGTTTATTTTTGTGGGAGATAAATTTTATACGACTGTTCTTTGCTGTCATTGGTCACTGCTAACTAAGACTGGACATCTAACTCTTCTACCATTTCTGCAAGAGAGGTGTGTTTGCAGGAAAAAAAAAAAGGCTTCAAGATGTTTAACTACAGTTTACTTTTTCTTTTGAGTGTCTTCTAACTTTTTGCTCTGTTCTTCATGTAGAGATGCTGTCTATGATTGTACTTCAAATCGCTTGCTTGTTGAAAATGTTCCTTTAATGGTTTATCACAGTCTGTTCAGCACAATAAACATACTAGCCTCTGTGATCCCCATGGTGTTTGGTTCCTAGACTTTTGTCACAGTTCCATAAAATGGGTAATAAAGTTTGGTCACAGTGACCAAATTTGTAAAAGCTTTGCATGCAACTAGTCTTTTTTTTTAGTCCCAGGACCATAGGACAGCAACGTGACAGCAAGTTCATTTGCTGTTAGGGGCAAATGCTGTGGGGGTGCACAGCAAAGGGACGTGTCTCACAGGCCTTCTCCTTTTTTTAGGCAAGATAATAGTTCACATCCAAGTTTGTGGAGTTTCCACTATGTGGCCATTAGGTTAAAAAGAGCAGGGCAGGAGAGACGGATGTGGCTGGTACAGTCTGGGGCATAACTGGAGCGCAGGAATCTCTGCATTAGAACTCAGACCTGTGCAAGGTTGCCCCAGGCAAGTTGGGCAGGATTCTTCTGGCTTCTTCTCTTCAGTTGCTCTTACATCGTCTCCCAGCCTGTTAAAATGAGATTTAGGGATTGTGCTGCATGTCTATTGATTCATATTTGTGACTGTGCCTCTCTCACCTAGGATGATTGTTCAGATACTAATTCCTCAGATACTTAGGCTTACATGTTCTCTGTGTTCACTCATTTGCAGACTCTCCACCTAATCTCTTTAGGCCTGGTAACCTCTGCTTTCCCAAGAGCTTTATGGCATGTTCCCTTTGGACTCTGTTACTTGTAAAATAACCAAAATACAAACAACACATTAAGTAGTAACACTCAGTCCTGAGTCAGAGATGAGTAATTGCATTCATCACATTGTGTCCCCTCTTCTCCTCTCCTTTCTCACCCTGCTCCATGGTATTAAAGGATCATTTCACTTTTCAGTCTTCCTGGTGGTCTTCTTCCCTGTGGTTGCCATCACTCGGCTCTTCCTGTTATTTTATCTGATGTGGTGCTCCAGCTGTAACCCACCCACCTGATGGATCAGCCAAGTGGCTGAACTTCTGCTACCCTGTGCTTAACTCCCCTCCACTTCTTATTAGTCATTCCTCCAGCTTGCTTCACTCCCACTTCCCTTCTTGGGGCATCTTCCAATAAACTTTTGCATGCTTTATGCCACAGTGGGACTATTTGTGTGTATAAAACTAATCATCTTCTGCAGGATCGAGGCCTGCATTTTGTCTAGCAGCCAAGAGTGCTTTATCCAAGATGCCTGTGGGTCATACTAAATTTCTGCTTTTGCTTTGTACTCCCATCACATCTCATCCACACAAAGACAGGGAATTACTGAAAGCTGGCACTGCCAGTGCCTTGCACAGCCATTTAGTTGTCCATATCTGTTTTTAAAACCAAAACATCTGGTCATCATTTGAGGCAGCATCTGGCACAATGGCAACAACATGTTCTGATGACAAGAGAAGAGTCAGATTTGTCACAACTCAAACATCACCTCAAGTCTGAATGAAGCAATGTTTCTCACCCTGGCACCCCTGCATATATGAATGTAGAATTTCTGTTCCTCAATCCATTTTTTTTCCATCTCCCACCATCTTCCTGCTCACATTAATTTTTAAACACACAAAAGTACTTCAGCATGTAGCCTTCAGTAAAAATAAAGATCCGATTGTTATATGCCTTCTTGATTCAGAAATAATGCCAACTGAAGCCTTATCACATCTACATAATCAGTCTGATGAATTTTTGCCACTCTCAGTTCTGTACTTTGTCTGAAAAACACAGACATCTTTGCTGTCTGGATGTCTCATAGCTGACACAGTCCGTGTGGGTTAATGCTCTGTTCCTGCCTGGCTCCCAGACCCAGGGGCTGTGTGCCGCACAAGGAGACACAAGTGGTGGGGACCCTCGACCCCCTTGCCAATCCACCTCACTTGCAGGTGCCCGAGGAGCAAAGTTGCCCCATGCACGTGCTCCACCTTGCTCCAGGACATCTCTGGCACACAGGTCCCACTCTAGCCAAGCTGCTGCTCTGATCATCCTCACTTCCTTCATCCCGATTCTCCTCTATGCAACAGCAAGACTTAACTTGTCTTTTATCTTCCCACTTTTATTTCTTTTTGCCACTTTGTTTACCTATTTATTACCCTTTGCCACCCAAACAACCTTTTGACTTACTGAAATTTATTTATTTTTTCCATTTCTTTCCTTCCCACCTGTGATTTAATGCTTTTGCCCCGCCTTTATTGTTCCAGACTTGCAGTGCCCTTATTCCAATATTCAAGAAAAAGAAGGCATCTTCCTGTAATTAACATCCTCTGAAGATACATGAGTGTAATCAGCATTAGCCTGA